GGCTGCATATGCTTCTATAATAACTGTTAAAAACAATTCCAGCATACATGTTGGCAGATCTACTCAACGAAAAAAAAACATGAAATTAATAAACCGGAAACTTCTCGGAATTATTCTAAGTTCAATTATGATTACCAGCGACGAAAGGTAATATAAAATACATCTACCAACGATGAAAGAAGCGCCATAAGAATAGAAAATACGCAGACAAACGTCGAAAAAAACAATAACAATAGAAAATACATCACCAACGACGGAATAAGCATCATCAGCGACAAAAGGAACATTACCAGTTTAAAAGATACACGAAAAAGCACCACCGACATTATGGCTAAAAAAGTAACATCAGCTACGAAAAAGACACTAGTTTTTGGATGACACTAACGACGAAAAGCGCACTACCAGCGCCAAAAAAGATACACTGAATTGGACAACAAACGACGAAAAAAGCATAGAATAGCGATAATCTGAATTCTGTTGCCCGAAAAAAAAATATTACATGGTACTAAAAATACAAAAAAAATAAAAATAAATAAATAAACTATCTAATTTGTATAACTGGCCAGTGATCAACAATAAAAAATAAAAAACTACTCACCTTTTGCTGCCTAATTAAATTGGTTCTTATAAGTTTTTCTAATCCCAATTCTAACTATTAGCTTTAATTTTACATATAATTTAAAAAACAGATTTATCTTATTATGCCTAATTTGGAATTTTAATTTGTCAAAAATTACAGGGGTACAATCGTTATCGTTATCTTTCAAAAAATTTTTTTTTTTTGAGTTATCTATATAATTTTATAGGCACGCTACTTAGATGTTAAAATATAGTATTTTGTTAGTGGTTTAATAAATTTAAAAAAAAATTTTTTTTAAAAAAAAGGTTGTATCCTAATACTTCAGCCGCAAGGCACACCCAGGCGTCCTACCCCGGCGAGGATTTAGGTGGGCGTTGTCAGCCGGACTCGAACTTGGAGCTACTCGTAGTAAACCCCGCGCCCGGACCGTTAGTCCATATTAGGATACTTATTAAATTTTTTATTTACTACCTCCTTAAAATTCATTATTTGTTTTACCAACTTGTCCAATTAAATTTCATCTTTTCAAATACAAAATGTCCGCGGTCCTGTGATGATCTGCATTGTTTTTTATTGGCTAAATCCCGTGACAATAGGCAGTTACGTGATAATCGTCTTTATGAGACGTCACCCGGAAAAAATGGTAGCCGGACTAATTTTTGGGTTATGCATCACCAATAATATCGCTAGAAATAACATACTATGCGTACCACACATCACTAGTTACACATATTTCAGATATTAATTATTTATGATGCAATTATTATTGTTATCACCAAATTTAAAAGTCAAAAATATTATATCATATAAATACTAATTTTTGAAATAATTTTCTTTCTTCGTTTGTTATTGTTGTCACTGCACAAAGAAATCTTTTTTTTTTTGCAAAAAATTGTTTTATGAATGATTATATATAAACAATATACTGTATATACCATTTTTTTTTTGTTTTTATTTATTTATTTAACAAAAAACAGATCTGTTTTGTGTTAATTTTTATTATACAAAAAAAAATTATAGTTAAATTTCTATATCTAATTACAAACTAGGGTTTGCAAAGAGTATTACTCTATATAAAACTATAAAGAATTTTTAAATAAAAAAAAAAAGTATTAAAAATACTTATAGTATTAAAGTAGAATTAAATTTTTATATTCAAAAAATAAAGAACTTGTTACAATAATTAGTCATTTGAATATTACTAAAATAGCTTATTATACTTTAACTTTTTTAAATAATACAAATAAATTTTTTGAAAAAGAAGTTAAAGGTTTTGAGTTAGAATTTAATGTTTTTTTTTTTTTTTTTTTTTTTTTTTTTTTTTTTTT